TTAACCTACGGTGGATAGGTAATGAACATTTAGGTGCGTACCAATATGATTATTCTTGTTTTAGTAGATAGTCAATTGTAGTAAGTAATATATAGGAATAGATGAATTCCAGGAGATTAAAGTAAAGAAATTATTTACGATATGAGTATTCTCGTTCGAAAATACTTGTGTGATTACGTTAGAAGGTTAATACAGCTGGAACATAACAATAAATATAGGCGTTTACTTACGTTATTCGAAGTGACGATAGAACTTCGTAAAGCGACAACGGCGGAATGGGTACGACACAAAGAATATAATCAACTACACTGACGACTAGGGTAAGTGTCGACGGATCGATGAACGGATGGAAGTATACGCACGTATGGATAGCAATATTTGATACCAGAGGCCCCAGGGCTTCTCAAATTTGTATACAACTGTTCCAAACCAAACCTTATCACGGTTCGGTCCATGTTCTTAAATTATTTGGACCATAAGAAATACTCGGACACAAAATTTTTAAATTTAAATTCTGAAGTGAACAGCAAGCATTAAGCAATAAAAACACAAATCACTAGAATATGTTCGCATTTTCAATATAATTTTGAGACTATTAAGGATATTAAGTTTAACTTTGAAGAATAATTAATAATAAATCTTGAAGAATGAGAATCATTTTTAATAAATATTATATTATACTAAAAACATACACTCTGATAACATATGAATTTGCATGTAAGTATAGGAAAAATATGGATACCTATTAACTCACGTATTATGATTACTCTATTACATTAGAATATTTTTAAACTACGGTGGATAGGTTATGAACATTTAGGTGCGTACCAATAAGATTATTCTTGTTTTAGCAGATTATCAATTGTAGTGGGTAATATATAGGAATAGATGAATTCCAGGGGATTAAAGTAAAGAAATTATTTACGATATGAGTATTCTCGTTCGAAAATACTTGTGTGANTAGGAAAAATATGGATACCTATTAACTCACGTATTATGATTACTCTATTACATTAGAATATTGTTAACCTACGGTGGATAGGTAATGAACATTTAGGTGCGTTACCTATAAAATTATTCTTGTTTTAGCAGATTATCAATTGTAGTAAGTAATATGAAGGAATAGATGAATTCCAGGAGATTAAAGTAAAGAAATTATTTACGATATGAGTATTCTCGTTCGAAAATACTTGTGTGATTACGTTAGAAGGTTAATACAGCTGGAACATAACAATGAATATAGGCGTTTACTTACGTTATTTGAGGTAACGATAGAACTTCGTAATTGACAACGGCGGAATGGGTACAAAACAAAAAGGAAAAACAACTACACTGACCGCTAGGGTAAGTGTCGACGGATCGATGAACAAATGGAAGTTTACGCACGTATGGATAGCAATATTTGACACCAGAGGCCCCAGGGCTTCCCAAATTTCTATAAAACTGTTCCAAACCAAACCTTATCACGGTTCGGTCCATGTTCTTAAATTATTTGGACCATAAGAAATACTCGGACACGAAATTATTATATTTTAAATCTAAAGTGAACGGCAAGCATCAAGCAATAAAAACACAAATCACTAGTATATGTTCGCATCTTCAATATAATTTTGAGACTATTAAGGATATTAAGTTTAACTTTGAAGAATAATTAATAATAAATCTTGAAGAATGAGAATCATTTTAATAAATATTATATTATACTAAAAACATACACTCTGATAACATATGAATTTGCATGTAAGTATAGGAAAAATATGGATACCTATTAACTCACGTATTATGATTACTCTATTACATTAGAATATT